AGCATTTTGACCTGCATGAGGTCAAAATAAGTTTTTCATCATAACAATTATAGCTGTTAACCTACAAAATCATATTTAAAAAGGATTAAATTGTAAGAAAATTATTTTACAGCCTTTCAAATTAGAAAGATTTCAAATTCGTAGATTTCAAAAGAAAGTTCATCCAAAAATGGAAAGTCAATGGGGTCCAGAACAACACTGTAAATTATTTATTCATCTAGTAATTTATCAATTTTCAAATAATTTATCATATTATAATTTATAATATTTTTTAGGTGAACTATGCCATTGAGCTTAAAAAAATAAACACAACCTAAAAAAACAACAGCAATGAATGCAAACAACTTCATTAGCATTAATATAATATTAACTGTATTATTTTCTTGTATAGCTGTAGTAATTTTTTTTAATTCGGAAATATATATATATATATATATACACACATAAAAATTATTTCTGAATATTGGTTATAACATCCCAAAATAAAGAAACAATTAACATAAACTTTAGATTTTTATTATTACTATTATTAATAACAACAATATTTTTATAGTTGTAGTCTGATTTAGTTAATGCGTCATCGGTTCTGAATAGGGGTGCAATGAAAATTTTCAGCTGAAACAGACGAAATGGTATTACATTTGAACTTTTAAACTATAACTTTTAAATTATCTCTATATTTAAAACATGTTTGAATAAATCTGTCATGAAAACAAGTTATTACATGTTTATATTTCACCAACAAATTGGAGTAAAAACAATTTTGTTATTAAAAGGTTGATAGAAAACTTATGTGCAGTTTAAATGTTTATAAGACTCACTTTTAGCTATTTGAGTATTGATTATTATTTTTTTATTATTATTATTATTTATGGTTTTCTGTAGGCCTATTTTCGACTGAGTGCATCCTGAATTTTAGGTTTTCGACACATTCTCATTTTGGGGCATCCCAACTTTGACTAAATATGTTATAATAAAACCAAACAAAGACAAAAAATGTACACAAAACTATAAGAGAGAAATAGTGTCTTCCACAGTCCCAAAGCCTTTAATGGATGGAGAGGTCACTCTGCTGAGATTGCAGAAGAGAGAAAAGCTGAGCAAACCTGTAATACTGCCTCTGTCTGGACACACAACATACAATAACACTCACACAGGGGGAAAACACAGAAAGACACTGAAATCAAAGGGCAAATAAACAATCATCAACTATCATGATACATTAAGAGATGTTAACTCACCAGAAGAATGTGTTGGTCCCATCATCGAACACTTCACACTCAGAGCGGCCGGATAGCTGGAGATCATCTGTGCCTGACCTCTTCCACTCACCTTTAGCCATAATGGCACAGATACACCTGTGGTTTAAACTAAACCTGGACTAAACTAAACCCAACCCACCTGTGATTTCAATTAGGTTACAACTAAATCCAACACACATGAACCAAACTTACCCTAACACAACACATCTATAATGTCCAACCTGAACTTAAAGCAAAATGCTAACCTAGATGACACCTGAACAAACTGTAACCCAACAGACCTGTCAATTTAAACTGACCCCTAACCCAACCTACCCATGCTGTGATATACAACCAAAAAAACCTTGAATAACACACCTGCTATTAAAAACAACTACCTAGTCCTAAATAACCCAAATCCTATAACGTTACACTAACGTTACCGCTGAGTTTTAATCCTGAACGAACTCAACCGATATAAATCACAACAACTCAATAACCCGAGCAAACAAATAGGTTACTCCCCTGAACTAACGTTACCTAAACCAGCACATGTGAGTGGAGATTTAAAGCTGACTGAAATAAAGACTAAAATAACTAAAATCACAGTGAGTCACAGGAGCGCGCGCGCGTCCCGCCACTGGCCGGTAACGGAGCGCGAGCGCATTTACCGGATCAACAGTCGTTCGTAGATGCGAGGCTTTAATAACACTGAGGGAAAATAACGTCTTCAAACTTTATATATGAACGCTACGGAGGCGCATCATCCGACGATATTACAGACTTGAGCCGACGCACGCGCACCTCTAGTGACATGCACTTCAGAAAAACATAACCATCATCGTAAGGTCGCGCGGCATGGCGTCATTTCCGCTCATGCCATAGGCGGCGTCACACATTTGTGTTTTTGGTCATCAAACCATGTGCACAAATATGAAGGGCGTTCTGTTATGCAGCCACAATCAGTTATAAACACATCAGTGTGCGTTTATTATTTGTATAATACATTTAATGAAGCTGCAATGTGATCGTTTGATAGCAATATTAATTACTATCTATATATTTACATAGCCTAAACAATCTTTCAAATAAACAAACTGTTCAAGGTTTACGCAGGATGACAGATTACGTGTTTGGTGGAAAGTTTTACGTAACCATAAGGAAAGTATGTCACATTCAGGAAACATAATGTCTGTTACACCTACATCACCCACAATAAGTAATGCATTAAATCATGTAAGCAGTCTGTTTATGTAAAACATATTATGCCCTGCTTTAGCATACCACTCTGAAAGCCTTCACAGAGAGCAGAGTCAGCACAAATACAGAACTTAGCCAGTCTAAACATGTCAGCGGTTCTCACTTCTCAGTTCTTTTATGTAGAGTTGAATGTGACGAATTGTTGTATTATTACTTGCTGCAGGCCTGCAACTCATATAGCTGGTCAAACTTGTTAGTTGTAGCCAGAGCAAGTTTGGGCTGAGAATTCAGTATACTTGGGTGTATTGTTAAACGCTAATTCGGACCATATTATATACTAAGATTTAGGATTTACCTCGAAGTTTATTTAACGTAATACTGTATTGTGATCAAAAGGGGGCGCTGTTGTACTATTCACAAAGCCCAACTACCGAACAGAAACGATTTCTCGGTTGATTTTTAACTGATCCTTTTCTTTTTGTTATGTGAAGGACACATTAACACTGAGTTGGAATGTTTATACTTTTATACTATCATTATAAAAAGTTTATAATTATATAATGATATATAAAAAAGTATATAAAATACTGCTTTATTGTTGCTACTTTTGAATTGTTGCAATGTTTTAATTCTCCCCTGTACACATTTTAGTATTAAAATTTAAAAACTAATCTTAAAAAATAAAAAATAAAAAAAATAAAAAAATACGTCTTATAAATCATTTCAAAATTAAAATGACATGGCCAATCTCAATAAACATTTTTGAACAAAAACATTACAAGAATAAGATTTTCAGTGAAAATTAGTGTTAGTGAAATTACATTTAAGGCAATTTTATGAAAAAAACTCTTATGAAAATTTAGGCAAATATTACTTGAACATAATAGTTTTATTCTGTAATTTCCAATCAAATGGCCAATTTATTAATAAAAGGGATAGGCTGCAATAAACACCACATATTATTTAAAAATAAGCTACATCTAACTTTAGAGTGCACACTTCTTAATCCGACGCATGAAGTGAGTAATGTAAGCTTGGTGAGAGAACGCACTTCTCGTGCTTCAAACAAATAGGGCAACAAACTCAAGCTCCTCTGACATTTCTCTCTAAAGCTACACTGTGTGATTTTTCCCCCCATCTAGCGGTGAAAAGGTATGACCATCCAGTGAATATATGTCAATAAAAAAAAAAAAGTTTCTGTTCCTCTCAATTCCGATTTCGTTTTAACTCCTACGGTGGCCAATGTAGTCCAAGATTAACATGGCTTCCAGTTCGACCTCGTCCATGAGTGTTAACTCAAACATAAACGCGAAAGGCGAAGCTTGAATTAACGGGTATGTCCCTCTTTGGCTAAGGTACTTTAAAGATGGAAGGGCAACATGGCGACCAACATTAGAACCCCTTAAGGCCAATTTATACTTCTGCGTCGAGGGTACGCCGTAATGTGCGGCGTTGGCTACGCACGTAGGCGACGCCGTTATGAGCATTTATACTTCTGCGTTCAGGTCTTGTTGCTCTGCAGTACTGCTCCGAAACGCTAGTTGGCGGCGGAGAGTTTTAATGTTCCACTGTGTTTAGATTCCTCGCGGCTAGGGTACTACAAGCAATAGCGATTGAAAGAGAGTGGATCATGTTGGAGTTGGAGCTTTTTGAGGTGGAAAAACAGTTCACTTTAGTGAAATTACTAAAACTGAAAGGCAGAAATGAGAGAAGACGTCGGAGGAGATGGTACGTAGACATCATAGACAGTGATGGAAATGCGTGAGAAGGTACGTGCGGAAATGCGTAGGAGGAAATGCGATGCTACCAAGCCGACCAATCACCGATCTTGCGGTCCGCGTCGTCGCGACGTGTAGTTACATTTTTGAGGAGGTGCGCGTCAGGCGACGGCGAAGGGTACGCGCAATGGGACGCGTCTGTGCGTATGCTACGCCGTACCTACTGCGCGCACCCTACGCAGAAGTATAAATCGGCCTTTACCCGTATGTATTTTCAATGGCATACACTCACGATAATACTTTATTACTTGAACGAAGTAAATATACATTAATGAGCACATATATATTTGAAAGAACCAAGTATTTTTAGCTAAGAATAAACTAAAAGAGTTACACAGTGTAGCTTTAAAAAAAAATCTTGTTTTAGAATTCTAATTCGTGAATTAGAATTTTTGACAAATTATAGGCTATTTTATTTATATCTTATGCTATGTCCTCTCTAATGGACGCAAGGAATAACAGTTGTTTAAAAAAAATTACATGGAATTACATGTGTAGGAAAAAACAATGGGATTTACCCATTGGTATAAACGTAGAATGGGATAATTTTCATTTTGGGGTGAACTAACCCTTTAATAGCTATAAAAGGGATTCATCCAATATGCATTAGAAGAATTACTTTTTTATTAGACTGTTGTCATTAACTTGACTCACTTCTTGAGCGGGTAGTGGGAAAGCAACGGGGTTTCAAAGGCGAGTATAACCAATCACAGCCGGGTAGAGGCGGGTCTAACAACAAAACCAAAGGGGGAGCGAATTCTGACCAATAGGAGCGGAGCATGTGGTTTTAACACTGCTGAGGCGCAGGACTTTAAATCTGACGAGATTAAATCACGGCCAGATCTGGAGTTTTACGATTAATAACGACGTGTGGTGTAAATTAACCCACATTTGGGCCGTTTTATTCTGGATCGGGGCACAATCAACGATGTCTACCATCCTGCTCTCCACCATCGCCGGGGAAAGACTGGCCGCTTCGAGGCAAACCGCCCCTCAGAGGAACACAGAGACTCTCTCTCAACTGAAGCACACGGGAACATGCCGAAATCTGTTCGGACCCGTGGATCACGACGAGCTGAAGCGAGAGCTGACATCCAAACTTCGTGAAATATCTCGACGAGATCAGCTGAGATGGAACTTCAATTTCAGTGAAGGACATCCGCTGAACGGGGGCTTGAAGTGGGAGGAAAGTCCAGCTGAGGACTGTCCGGAATTTTACAGAGAAAAGACTGTCCTGCCAAAGAGACCAGTGGACTTCCCCACGACAGAGAGAATCGCAAATGCCTCAAAATTTGAGAGTCGTTCAATGAAAGTTTTGAAAAAGACAGTAATGAGTAACCGAAGAAAATTATCTCGCAAAACGGTCGCTCGCGTCCAGACGAAGAGACTCACAAACCTGCGCATTACAGGTAAACAACACTGTTGCTGCTACTTTACAACTGTAATACCAGTCATGTAAATGTGTTCACGGTTTTAATCTTGTGAATTTGTGTTCGTGTAGATTTTTATGGAAAGCGAAAGAAAACGGACAGCGTCCACAAGGAAAGCAGAGATGTGGAGTGAAACCGCATCCTCTGAAGGAAAAAAGCGCAGCAAACCCATGGTGGCGGGAAATGGACGGAAGTAATGACGTCACTCACGTTATTACTTGATAATGTGATTCTGGAATCTTATTTTTGTACTGATTTATGTTCGGTTTAATTATGAGCAGTGCTGGTTGCTCTTTACTGTGTACAATTGATAAGTAACTTTAAATTAAAGTCAGGACAAGTAAGCCTATTTATTGTTGACTAATATATATCAGTATATATATTTTGCAACGGCTTAAGTTATTTATTTATTCACTTTTACATTTCAAGTAGGCTATACTTTTGTGGTTGAAAAATGTATCTTTTCTTGATTCTGAGCCATATTTGTCACTATTGTAAAGATGTTGCTTTAATAAATGAGTATATATAAATGTATGTTGTCTCCCATCCAGTTTGTGATTTATTTATTTTTCATTTCATGCATGTTCAATTTCAAACAGGCTACTGTTAAACCTTTACAGAAGCAAAGACACTCAATAAATGGGGTCTAGATGATCACACAACTAGTCTTACAGAACATCTAATAACTTAAGGAACCCCTATTATTATTTGGGTCATTTTAGGCTATATATGTACCATTACAGCTTTGTAATTATATTTATTAATTTAATGGTTTGATCTGGTTAAGCTTATGAGAACAGAAAATTAAACGAAAATAAAGCTAAAGTCCACTTTACAATTTACAATAAGGTTCCATTAGTTAACATTAACTAGATAAAAATGAACAATTCTTCTAAAGTAGGCTATGTATTAATCTTAGTTCATTTTAATGTAAACTTTTATTAATACATTATTAAAATCAAAAGTTACTTGTTAACATTAGTTGATGCACTGTGAACTAACATGAATAAACAATGCATGACTTTTTATTAACTAGCATTAACATAGATGAATAACTACAGTAAAAATGTATCGCTCATAATGTTAGTTAATACATGAATTAATGTTAACAGATGAAACCTTATTGTTACCCTAAAGTCAGTCATTATTGCTCACTTCATACCTTCTTTCAAATAGTGATATATTGATTTCTGTAATTTTTACAAAATATGATTGAATATGTTTAAGTGAGGAACTTGCTTATGTGTGCAGGTTTTCCCTATACCAAAATGATGTCACTTTCCCAAAGATGATGTCATTGATGAACTGGCTTTTTTAAATTTTTTATAATAAGTCTAAAATGATGGAAAGTGAAATTGAGGTCACATATGTGACCCTGGATCACAATAGCCAACAATACATTGTATGGGTCAAAATTATCGATTTTTCTTTTATGCCAAAAATCATTACGATATTAAATAAAGACCATGTTCCATGAAGGCAATTTATACATTTCCTACCATAAATATATAAAACATTTATTTATGTGAGTGAATGAAGCACAATCGCGAACATAAATGGACGACTTTAAGGGCGACTTTCTCAATGTTTACTTTTTTTTTCTTTCTTTCTTTTTTTTGCACCCTCAGAGATTTTCAAATAGCATAGTTGCATCTCGGCCAAATGGAAAGCTTATTTATTCAGCTTTCTGATGGTGTATACATATTTTAAATGGCCAATGTGACAGGTTTTGTGGTCCAGGGTCACATATGATCAATTTATGTTTAATTCATAAACATTTATATATATATATAAAAAAAACTATCAAAACATTTCTATTATAAAAAATACAATTATTTAAAAACAATTAAAACTGGACTATTAATTGGAATCATTAATAATAGTTTGCCTATTTTTAAGTGTTACGATTGAAGGTCTAATTAATGTCTGTAGCCATTTAGCCTAATACTCGGATTAAGGGTTTGCATTGCAAGCACACCTAAAAGAAAGAAAGAAAGCGCGGTGGGGGAGGGGAGGGGGTTGGATGTTTTCAAGACCACATAGGCAGAAGAAAAGCGAGCGGGAGAGATAAAAGAGAGTGGGAAAGATGAAAAGAAAGGATGAAGAACGTGCCGCCTCGCTTTGACCTGCAAATTAGGCCGCGCGCTCCTCCCCGCCGCGAACCCACGCCGCGCGCTCCTCCCACAACTCCCCGCGAAAACACCTGCTGGAACGCGCGCGTAGGAATGGCGCGTGTCTGCATACAAACACAAGACACTCGCCGGTGATCTGCTTAATATTCATGCGACAGAGAGCCCATTTTTACGGTTCACACAGCAGACATTATTCTTTGTTGTCCTCAAATCTCAATTGTTTGACGAAGTTCCTAATCCGGGATCGAGACCAAAGTTTTTGATTGTATTTGTTTAACTTCAAATTTCAAAGCTCTCTTCAAATTTACAAAGTTCTTAAAGGAGTAGTTCGCTTTAAAAAAAAGGTATTTGATGAAAACATTCCAGTATTTTTCTCCATATAATGGACTTCAATGGGAACCAAACGGTTCAGGTCCAAAAGACAGTTTCAGCGCAAACTGCAAACTGTTCAAAGGGCTTTAAACGATTTCAGATGATGAACCGTCATTTAAAAAACAAAACAAAAAAATTAAAGTCCATTATATGGAAAAAAAATCCTGGAATGTTTTCATCAAAAAAATCTTAATTTCTTTTTGACTGAAGAAAGAATTACATGGATATCTTGAATGACATGGGGTGAGTAAATTATCAGCAAACGATTTTTTTTTTTATTATTATTAAAGTGAATAACTTACTCCTTTAAAACTACAGAAGACTTACCTGTATAAACAAGAACCGACTATCATGTAACAGGAAGGACCATCTGAGTCCAATTCCTGGTAACTGTCACTAATGTGGTTTTCTGATGTGTGTGTGTGTGTGTGTGTGTGTGTGGGAGGGGGGTATGACCAAATGTAACAGATTGAGAGAAACCGTTAGAGTCCACATCAATTAGCACTGTTGAGAATATGGGGGAGGGGAAATGCACGTCAATCAAACAGCACTTAAACATCAAAGTATTTTAACTATTAAACTCAATTTACAAACTAAAATAAAATACATAGAATGGATGACAAGATTGCAAGTTAAAGATTTGCAAATTTAGCTTAAATTAAATTAGTATTCAGTAGGGGTTAAAATGTTGGTTTGTTATAATTGATATTGATAATAAACCTATTTTGCCATAAATTGAAGAAAAAATGTATTGTGTTTTCTTAAAATAAAATGAATTTTTGTGCATGAAAAATTACAAATATTTGTAAAAATTGAGAAAATTTAAGGAAATTATTTGTTTTCCCACCTTGCAGTTGAAAGAATAGCCGGTGTCACAATTTTAAGAATTGTTACATTTTATGTAACAAAATTATGCAGTAACAGGGTTGCATATTGACTTATACTTTTATTTTATTTCTGGGATTAATTAAATATATTTATTGATTAAAATAGAATGAATTGAATATTGAGTCAACACAGTAAGTAGATTACATTATTACAAGTAGTTAATAATTGAAAACAGATTTTGGTAACACATTATTTACAGTGTCCTTGTTACACGTTACATGTAGTTCCTATAGTAATTACTATGAATTGTGCATAAGTACATTAAACTAAACCCCAAACCTAACCCATAATTCTATAGTAAGTACATGTAGTTTATTATAATTACCCAGTACTTAAATAAATAATTACACTGTAACCTTAAAATAAAGTGTCACCCAGTATTAATATTATTTCAAAATGTTGACATTGTATGATAAAATTGAGTCTGTAAATTGACATACAGACACTCAATCTCTTTAACAGTAACAACTTTTCATTCTAGGTTAATTTTATGTTACATAATAGTTTGACATGAATTGAGTAATAAAATATTAAAGGGATAGTTCACTTTGAAATGAATTTTTGGTATGTTTTATCTTACCTCAAGGGCATCCAAGATGTAGGTGTCTTTGTTTCCACAGGAATTTTAAATTTTGATATTTTGAGGTCAAACCGTTTTTGTCTGTCAGTTATATAACGGAGGTCTATGGTCACCACCTCAAAGAGCATGCACAGAGAAGTCCATATTAAACAATGACTTGTAAATGTAAGTACACATTGATGGCCTAAGACACGAAACGAGCGGTTTGTGTGAGAAAACGAACAGTATTTATATCGTTTTTACCTCTTGTAACCACAGCCACGTGCAAGTGATCTGAGGGCGCGGGTGCTTCGGTCTGCGCAAGTGCTGGAAAGCGCCGGAAGTGATCTCTCGTGCAGTTGCAACAAAAATAAAATTCAAAGTTGTCTGTTGATATATCGAAATCTTCTTCTATTGCGACTGTATATCTAAATATGTGTATAGATCTTCACAGTGAAGGTAACACTTTCGAAATCTCGGTGTAAATAATGAGTGACGTACACGCGCAAGAGATCACTTCCGAACCGCCCATGCCTTCAGATCACTTGGACGTGGCTGTGATTACAAGGGGTAAAAACGATATAAATACTGTTCGTTTTCTCACACAAACCGCTCGTTTCGTGTCTTAGACCATCAATGTGTACTTACATTTACGAGTCATTAAATCATGTTTAATTTGGACTTCTCTGTGCATGCTCTTTGAGGTGGTGACCATAGACCTCCATTATATGACTGATAGACAAGAACGGTTTGACCTAAAAATATCAAAATTGAAAATACTGTGGAAACAAAGACACCTACATCTTGGATGCCCTTGAGGTAAGCTAAAACATACCAAAAATTAATTTCAAAGTGAACTATCCCTTTAAAAACCAAAATAAATCATAGGACACTAAAATGTATGATATTCGTGAAAAGCGCTTGTGTAAGTGCTGTATAACCATATCTGTGGACGTTGTGAGATAACAGGGCAGATGTCGTCCCGCATGAGGGTCAGGGTCCCCAATGTTTCTCAGCCACTTCACAGCTGCGTCTCCATGGACACCAGCTGGTCAACCACATCCAGCAGGAGCGAGTGTGTGTGTGGACCACCAGCTGACACACTCGCTCAAGCACGTCTGTGATGTCAGAATGCTGACACGTCATGAAACAGCATTTATGAATTAGTAACTCACCAGCTGAGCGAATGACCCTTCGTGGGAAAACCCTTGAGTCCGTGTAATTAACGATTTGCTGACCTGTGTGGGAAAATAAAGATGAACAGATGAATTAGTCAACATAAAGTTGTTCAAACAACATTGTGCATGGAATGTTTTTCTTTTAGTTAGTTTGACTGTAAAAAAAAATTAAAATAAAAATAAACTAAAAAACTAATTCAAACATGATTAGGGATTGTTTGTTATCCGACCCAGGAGTAGACTTTATATTTGAGTGAATTTTTCACAGTTTTAGGCCTGGATGTCCTGTAAAGGGCACATTTTCAGAGATATCAAATGTTTGGTGGTTTCAGCATGACAGCAACTTCTCTTTGGTCTTTAAAAATGACTGACATAAATTTAGTGACCAAATTTATCACTCTTAAGGAAATATGATAATATTTTGTAAATATAATTTAAATCTGACTAATTTTTTAAATTGTTTGTCACAAATCAACATCTCAGGAAAATGTTATGGGGTTTCTAATCAAAATATGATTTTGTATAAAGTAAAGGATATATCGGTTCATTTCGTTATGTCTTTCATACCATTTTTTTTAAAGGTATACTCCACTTTTTTTGGAAATAGGCTCATTTTACCACTCCCCCAGAGTTAAACAGTTGAGTTTTACCGTTTTCAAATTCATTCAGCTGATTTTCTGATATTTAGAAGAATATCAGTAACCAGACAGTAGGAAAAAATATACTATGGAAGTCAATGAGAAACTGTCTGGTTACTGATATTCTTCTAAATATCAGAATCGGCTGAATACATTCGAAAACGGTAAAACGCAACTGTTTAACTCTGGGGGAGTGGAAAAATAAGCCTATTTCCAAAAAAAGTGGAGTATCCCTTTAACAAAGTTTGGTTAAAAAATCCTGAAACCTAAAAATGTAGGCTATTGGTGATGGTGAATGAAAAAAAAAACCCACTGTTTTTGCCTATACGTGTCATTTTATGTCTTTTTAATTTTTGAACAATCGAGTCCTGGTGTCCAGAGCGGATATAGAGGACATATTTGTTGTTTTTTTACATTTTCTTATGCTTTCTAAACAATGTAATGACAAGAAAAATGACAACCATCAGCGCCATCTGCCGGTGTCTTACAGAATAATAGGGCGCTACCACATGGATACATGGTCGTTTGATGCACCATGGTATTTATATTGTAATTTAGAATAGCATAATGTAATCCGCAGGAAGCCAACATAAGGGGGGGGGGGGGGGTGTACTTTTTGTAAGTGGAGATTACTTTGCACGGGTGGTTAGCCGACACACAAACAGATGTAGGCATTTATTGACTATCAATATTTATCGTTCTATCCAGAGATTTGATTAAAGATGTATATTTTATTAGCAGGCCTAGCTATATATGTGTGTACCATATCAAATCATTCAGGTCCATGGTACCCCATAACGGGTTTTAAAGAGATAGGCTACGTGCCTAATAACAGAAACGTAGACCTGGGTCCGTCCAAACTGATAACAAATATACCAAGTCCGTTGTCACCTGTTATTAAAACTGGGTGGGCGCTGAAAGCCACCCAGAAACTACCGACCTTCATTATAGAGCCTGAAAGCAGGCGGAAGGGCAAGATTATCCCTCAGTCCTCTCAGATCAGCTACATAGACGTCTGCTCTCTGCAGAGGGTAATTTCAGTTTGTGGGTGTTTATGTGTGTGATCCTCCCTAATGTGGTTGGGCTCAAACCACTGCAGCTAAAAGCTAAAAACCCTCCTGCTGAAAGCAGATAAATCCCACTGAAACTCTAATGAAGGCAGCAAGAAAACAAGCTGCAACTCAATGTAAGAAAGTTAGTTTCAGAAGAACACACGGGCATCGAGGCTATCACTGCTGTGCCTCGAGGTTCTGCAGGCGGACTGTCCCTGTAATAAGCGCACTGTAAATAGCCTCGGATGAATGTGTCTAAATGACTGCTTATGTGCTGCTAAATGACTACTCACAAGCATCAAATCATTCCTTTCTGGATTTGGACATATTAGTATGTACGTTGTTTTACAAAACGTCGAAATGCTAAAAACAAATAGTCAATTATATACGAAAAAAACAATAGTTGTGTTTATTAAAATATAATTAATCAAATATATTTAACTTTTTTACTGTAATGACCCCCCCCCCCCACACACACACACACACACAAAAAGATAAAATGTTAAATATATTAAAATATTATGCGTATAAATATCTTTTAGCCTACTTAAATATGTTTTTTTTTCAAGACAGAAAGTTTCATATACACTAGTGAATAGTTTTAAATGTATAAAATCACATTTTATTTCAAATTTGTGTGTGTGTGTGTGTGTGTGTTTGTTTACACTAATGACAATGACATTTACTGTATTAGCTAATCAAAATTAAGAGGACAAAAATTGCTTAACCTTCAAATGGTCTTCGTTTCCGGTTTACACTTCTGGGCTTCGGGGTCTGCAGGACCCCAACAATTGATTGAGTAATTGTACAAACAAATATACATTTTTAATCATACAAATAATATACCATTTTTTTTGTTTACTTCTCATCTATTCATTAATGCTGTGTTTTTGGATATATATATGCCAGATTTTTTTTTTTTTTTTTTTTTTTTTTTACACAAGAAGAAAATATATTTATTTATTTATTTTTTCACATTTCCCATTAATTTCAAATTGGGGTCATATTGGCCCCGAAGATCAGAAGTGTAAACGTTTTTTTTTACATACCTTCAGAACAACCGAATCAATATATATATATATATATATATATATATATATATATATATATATATATATATATATATATATATATATATATATATATATATAAATGTTCTTGACATGTTTTGTTTATTAGACTTTGGACAAAACATCAACATATCCAATTCTCATTATTATTCCATTTCTGTTACCAATAAGTGTGCATCTGAGTTATTCCCCGAATACCAACCAACGTTTTTTTTTCTCACTTTTTTTTTTATTGCAGAAAAGGTCCAACATGTTTGTTTGCCAGTTAATTATCAAACCTTCTTACAACATCTTAATTGTGGCATGTTACCAGCTCAATTTTAGAACATTAATCGTTTAAGTTTATTTTAACATATTTAAAATAAAATAACATTTGATCTTATTTTTCAAAAAAAAGGAAAAAAAAATAAATAGAACCTACTTTGATTAATGGTTACACCATTCAGTGATTGATGAATGTTTTCTTTACCGTGTTTGTCTGTGTACTATTGCTGAGATAAGATACACAGAATAGCATTTGTGCGACCATCAAAGTTACCCATAGGCTGTGTGGCCTATGTATGCTATACTATTTAAACCTAGATATCAGCAAGAATCCACACAGATGAGAAATGGGCAGAAGGTCTACATGAGGGTGTGTGTTAACTGCTCTTTAATCGAGTCCCTGCACATCTGTGTCCACTCTGCATGCCGACTGAAATAGAAGGGGAGTGAAGTTTGGCAAACAGCTCTGTCATTTAAATGATAAAAATACCAGTAGAGCTGGGAGGGGTCACCGCTGTAAGCACAGGCGGCACAGTCCAACATTACAGAGACGCATGAGAACTAAACCACAGCACCCCTTCAGTCTCCCTGAAACACAAACTCCAAAGAATTCATGTTAACCTGCTCTTCTAAACCAATTAACTTCCTTGATGAAAAGAAAACAGCTTAAAACCAGCCTAACATGATCTTCATACCCAGGCCAAACTGGTCTCAGTGGGTTTAAGATGGCGCCTCAACTGAAAAGTGACCAAACCCCCTCTAAAACTAGCAAAAAGACAAGCCTAACCAGACTGAAAGACCAGCAAATCAGCTTAGTGGGAGTTTTTTTTTATTTTATTTTATAAAATAAATATAAAATAAAATAAATATTTTGTGGTTTATGATTATCTATAGGCTACACAGATTTTGGATTTTTGGCTGCCAACCTCATTATTTATTACTTAACATGATATTTAGCACACTAGGCCTACATGTTAATTATTAAATAGAACCGCCTAGAGTAAAATAATATATTTTCTTGAATAAAATATCACTGAGACGAAATTTCGCTGGAGAAAGCAGCCAATGGTCACGCGAATTCGTCGCGCTGATTTGTCTGCTTTGTTTGAAGTGTTTATCATTATTTATTCGCTACACTATTGAAACTGGATCTTTTCGTCGTCGAAGTTTCCTTGAAATATCGCGTTCCTTGGCGAAACTTCGCGGGTGAAATCCAGTCGTTGGTAAGTAACGACGTTACGCGATATCGCGAATTTGCTTGTTTGAAAGTGACGTGCTATGTGATCTCTCTTCACATTTTACAATGGACCTTTTTCGTCGACGAAACATCGCTAATGTACTTTAAACCCACTGTTGATAGGAATCTATTCAAGGAGACGCATGTGGAAACATACTGAGGACATTAAATATTTTATTAAATACAGTTGAGCCAAATTAACATAAAATAGAATTGTTGGATAGATATAAAGTACATTGACATTATGAAAAACAAATCTAAATTGTAATAAACTCATCACACAGCCAAAGAAAATAGCATGCTGATAAAGTGAGGATAACTTGAACTGTCCAGAAGGTTTGCAGGAGCTTTTGGTGGTGGGATTGCTTGAGTCGCTCGGTCTACCTGCTGAAGAGCTTCATGAAACTCTGAAATCCATCTTCACCGAAGAAATCAAACGCTCCCTCTGAGCTTCCCAGATGAACCAGGAGCAGGACCAGCAGACCCACCAACAGCAGCGGGATCAAGAGATTCCAGCCCGATGCCAGAATGTTGTACCACTTCGCCTTGTCTGAGCATTCCTGTGCTGCACGCAAGTCGCCCAAGGTCTTCTGATCTCGAGCCTGAAAACACCAACAGAAATGAGAGTCTCAGACAGTCGTGTTTTAGCACATAGTCAAATCAAGGTTCTTAATGGTTCCTTGCATTAGGTCATTCTCAGCACTCTTGAAAATAAAGGTCCTTTATTGCCATCAATGGTTTTTGGAACTTTACAGTTCGCAAAAAGCTATTTTTGGAAAAGGTAAGATTAGATTAAAATGTTCTCCACACTAAGAAAAAAAAATGTTACACATAAAAAAACTGTTCACTGAAAGGTTCTTTGAAGGAACCCAAAATAGTTTGGCATCACTTGGAGATTAAAAAGTTCTGGATTTTGAACTTAATTGGCATCAGTATATAATCTTTTTCTAAACTAGAGGTTCTTTAGGCTGTAAAACCATTGAACTTTAATGGTCCATCATGTGACATCCAGAAATATTTCTGATGAAGTTAAAGCCACACAAAGACATTAGGTGTTGGAGCTCACCTTGATGGAATAGATCAGAGCCATGAATCCCAGGCAGCAGAAGTTGACGTAAAGAGTGTTACAGAGTGACCAGACCAGGTAGTCGTTTGGTGGCTTCTTGCCCGCTTGGCTCATGTTGACCACCGTGGAGCCGCCAGCCTTACGGCCGGACTTACAGTTAGTGAGCGGAGTGCAGTCGTTCACGTAGCTGTATGTGGCGTTATCCATCCTCGGAGGTCAGGGGTCAAAACTCCTGGAAGAATCTGAAGAGGAATTACTGAGGGGAAAGATCAGGACACTACTTATACAGCACTGCATATGGGTGGAGTCAGAGAGAGAGAGCGAACGGTCATTCATTATGTGGTTGTTGCTAGAGAGAACAGGGCAGGGTGCTGCTTCTATATCCATTTTGAGCAAATCTCTAGGTTTGTCAAAAACACACAATTAAAACTATAAGGGCATTTTTAAAAATGCGAAATATGCATTTAAATATAATTAATTTAAAATGAATCAAATAAATACATTTATTTTTACCATTTAAAAAAAATTAACTTAACAGCTTTCTGAACTATTCCAGTTTTTCAGGGGTTATTTAAGAGCCTTTCATTCACTTCATTAAAAAAAAGAAAAGAGACTCAAAGGGGTTTTGGGGGATAGAAATGCGAATGGGACACAAGCATCCTCATTGAAACACCAAAGCGCTTATGTTTAGGAAGCATGTAGGCTGCAAGCTAATAATCTTTCCAACATCATTCAAGTGATGTTTATTTTGGTCACCACACACTGTTATAAAGTCCTCGCGATCCTGAGTAAGGAAGTGGCGCCCCCTACTGGAAAGAGGAAGGTGAAGCTCACTCAGTCATTTACTGAAAGTCTGGAACCTTTAATAATAATAAAAGGCATTATTTTTATTAATCAAATATTGGAAGTAAAAATGTAAGAAAATCAGATTATGAATCATGCAATATTTTGTGTCTTCCAAAGCCATAGAGACAAGGTGAAATGTATAAATATTATACATACATATATACATATTATGTATACATGTATACATATTTTGGCGTCCAAGTATCACCCTTGGGAGAATAAAATTTTAAAAGGCATGATAAAAATGAAGATTCAGGCTTTGGAAAATATCAAATGTTGTGAAAAGAAAATGCACAACCAAGATTTCAAATGAACACACCACTCAGTCATAGAGATCAAATATTCTTATTTATTAATTACAAAAAATGACAAAAGCCATTACATTCGAGTTAACACAACTGAATTATATTCAGTTAAGGCAAAAGGGACGGAAAGAGATCATTTCTCCTATTCAGCTTTAAAATGAGATACAGAGAGCAAAAAAAATCTAAAGCGTCACACGGTCTTTAAATTAAAACGTGTGCTAATTTTGATTGTCTATTCTACATTTCACAGACAATCAAAATGCAGAAATACACAGGAAGAGGCGGATTAAATTTGGATTAGTCGCGTGTGCATCCAAGGCCCCCATTTGGTTTAATGGCATAAATCATGATTATGAAATCAACGTAGCATTTGCCAATACCACTTGTGTTGTGAATTGGCCATGTTAGATATGATGTCTGTATTTTTACTGCACACAAGGAATGAGTTAAGCTTCATGACACTATATCACACTCTATAAGAGAATGAATGTGTGTGTGTGTGCAGAGGGGCGGCACTTTTAAAATCACATCTTAGAGGCTGCAGCCACAGCAGACGGTCCACCACGACTATAAACATGAATCGTGTTCTGCAGACACAAAGACAGAAAATAATGATATAAACACCAGCGTTATTTAAAAATTGTTGAGATAATATAAGAGTTTTTATTTGATTTGTTCCGTTTTCAATGTAATATTAGCTACATTTTTAGTAATTCTATATAGTTTATTCATTTTTATCTCGGTTTTTGTTAGTTATTTTAGTACATCAAGCTAGTTTTTTTATATTTAAGTTATATTTAGTTTAGAATTTATTTTATTTAGTTTATATCAAAATAAATGGTTTCCGCTATACACCCTGATCCATTCTAAAAGAACACAGATGAATGTGTGTGAGACTGATCAAATGTTTTCTACCTTCTTCCCTTCAGCGTTGTGTTTATCCAGGAGAGTCTGAACACGAGTCCCATAATCATGGTGAACGGACATCAGGTTTTGCACCTGCAAAAATCACAAATAACAAACATCTGAATTATCTAGAATCATGTTTTTTTCCAAGCCCTGTTCCCCAATAGCTGCTAATGAGAAGTTTGAGATTAAAATCATACCACGCGTTTCTGAATAAACAGCTGCGCTCCTTTCAAATGGCCGGCCATATTCTGACACAGCCGCTCTCGCTCGGCTTCGTTCAGCACCTCGGTGAAGAACGTGCGCACCTGCGGAAAGGATCAGAGCGGGAAATATTAGAACTCACGGATGGCTGGATTATCAGTACACTGATGCACACGATCGCTAACACACCTGGGTCACGTTGTCATCGTCTGCGCTGTTGTATCGGCCCACATCAGGAGACACTTGGCACTTGGACTCCAGGAAGCACGGCTGGGTATCGGGAGCACTGAAGCTGTTGGGGAAGTAGTTCGGAGCTCCCCCTACAGGACCAGACAGAAACTGCTTAAAGCAGTAGTTCACTTTAAAATAAAAAAACTTTTGCTGATAATTTACTCACCCCCATGTCATCCAAGATGTCTACGTCTTTCTTTCTTCAGTCGAAAAAAAAAATGAAGGTTTTTGATGAAAATATTCCAGGATTTTTCACCATATAATGGATTTCAATGGGAACCAAACGGTTCACGGTCCAAATGAATGTTTCAGTGCAGCTTCAAATGGCTTTAAACGACACCAGACGACGAATAAGCGTCTTATTAAGGACCCTTTGAGTCATGACTCGAAAAAAGATTTGTTTGAACAGGAGAGTCATGAACGCTCATCACAGAACAGAGCAAGGCGAGCATATGTGCTTATAAAACTTAAACTTGATTTATTTTTTAAATGACCGATCGTTTTGCTTGATTAGACCCTTATTCATCGTCTGGAATCGTTTAAAGCGCTTTGAACAGTTTGCAGTTTGCACTGAAACTCTCATTTGGACCTTGAACTGTTTGGTTCCCATTGAAGTCCATTATATGGAGAAAAATCCTGGAATGTTTTCATCAAAAACCTTAATTTCTTTTTGACTGAAGAAAGAATGACATGGACATTTTGGATGACATGGGGTGAGTAAATTATCAGCAAAAGTTTTTTTTAAGTGAACTACTCCTTTAACATTTCAATACAGATTTTATTGTGCCACAAGAAGCTTCACAGCATTGCCCTATTTAGGGTTCCCAAACCTTGGTTAAAATCAAATTCAAGGACTTTCCAGGCCCAATACCCTCAAATTGAAGGACTTAATGTGGGGACACATTTCAAGTGAGAGAGCAAGGTTACATTGTGTATGTAAGATACATTGTTACAGTTTTCATCTGTCAAACAACTAGGCAAAAAAAAAAAGCTTTTTTGCCTTTATTTTTGACCATATGACAGAGATCTGATATTCCATTTGTCATATTTATGTTTTGCATAAAACCGAAGAATATTCGGTACAGCTAATCCTATAAAAAAATAATAATAATCAAATAAAATATTATATAAAATAAGGTCCTGGGACTGATTATGTCAACTTGACAGCTCAAGAATAAAACATGAGATCAAGTATGTGAACTTGCAACAGAACACATTATTTTACATTTGACTATTTTATTTATTTCTACATAACTCTTCAGTATATGTTGGCGTGCCCTAAGTACTTATATAAGGGGCGGCAGTGGCTCAGTGGTTCATGTAGGTTGTCTACAAACCGAAAGGTTGGTTCCACCTAATCAAGTGTTGAGGTGTCCGTGAGCAAGACACCTAACCCCAGCTGCTCCCAACGAGCTGGGTTGCACCTTGCATGACTGACACCGCCGTCGGTATATGAATGTATGTGAGGCAATATGTAAAGCGCTTTGGTGGCCATTAGGTCTATGAAAGCACTATATAAATGCAGTCCATTTACCATATTTACTACTTAAATTATGACTACATAATTATGACCATTTTTATTTAAATAATTTAGCATTTTAAACCTTTTTTAAATACATGCCATAAATTGTGTATGACAGTTAGGATCATTTATATAAAAAAAAAAAAGCACATTACACCCGTTTACAGCACATGTTCTCTAGACTTTGTCACTATGGGAAAAAAAAAATGCAAACATGCATTAACCACCAAATGAATGTTGGGGCCTGGGTCTATGCAAGTTACGGGACAAATCCTCCGTCTATGGAAAAATCGCATCCTGGATTGATTTGATACGGAACGCATCATTTTACATTTAAATAAGGGACAAAAAAAAAAAAAAATTATTCTTTGTAATCTTCTTTGGTGAGCCAAATATCTTGAAATTTGCGTTTTCCAAGCATCACATTTCAGCGGTTTCAGCCTATTTTTGCAATTTTTACGGTGTGTCGGTGAAATGTTAAGGTACCATCAATCGTAGTAGTTTTGTGCGCATGTGAAAGTCATGGCAACATACAAAGGAAACATTGGTAACGGGAAACTTAACCATTGGTGTAAATGTGTGTAACTAATGTAAATCAAGCAAGGTAGTGTGCACTGCATAGGCCACGAAGTGTTGGCAAAATAACACATTAGCGGACCGGAGAGAATATGGATTTTTTTCCAGAAAACGTGTTGCACAAAATAAAAATCAAACACTTTCAAGGACCTGTATCTATGCATGTTTATTTTCAAGAACTTTCCAGGGCCTTGAAAAAAAATAAATAAATAAAAAAAATTGATTGATTGATTTTATTCATCCCAAGGGAAATTGAAGGCATCCAGTAGCTTAGACAACAGATTTCCACATATATCACACATACAATATATATAAAATTCACAAACTTTCAAGGACCCGTGGGAACCCTGCCTATTCCACCATTCCAGACATATGTTGCGTTGTTAACCTGAGTCACTTTTGAGAGACTAATACCCTCTCTTACCCAAAACCAAACCCAGTATGACACAAGAAGTTTTCTGCTATGCATCCAACTCACCCTGGTTGTCGTACAAGCACATGGGGCCGTCTCTCTGGTAGTTTGCCACACGGGTGCGGTAGGGGCAGTTGACGGGCAATTGGAGGTAATTAGCTCCGAGCCGATGCCGATGTGTGTCTGGATACGAGAAAAGACGCCCCTGTGGCGAAAGAATTGAGTAATTACAGCATTTAGTCATTCTAGTGATTCTTGTAATTAGTCATTGATGCTTTAATCCAAAGTAATCTACAGGGCGCTTATTACGAGGAATCAGAGTTTAAGTGCCTTGCTCAAGAACAAAATAGTGAACAAGCATCTTTTTGTGCATCATAAGCCTGTGCAAATAAACCTGTGAAATGTGTCTAGGTATGTTGCTTGTGACACAGCAGTAAATATGTACCTGCAGCATCTTGTCCGGGCTGG